GAGGGCTGTAGTCGGCTTCGATTTTTTTTTTGGGGGGGGGGGGATGGGGTGGGAACCTTTATTTCCTGACACTATGGCAATAATATGCTGGCATCTCGTTAAAACACCAGGTAGTAGCTGCAGATGGTGGTCAGAATCCGCCAAACCACAGCAGCTCACAGGCTACAGTCCGCAAAGTGCATCCAAAGAGTCGAGGCGAGTCACTGGAAACTCGGGGGGGCCCCGGTGGGTTCTGGAGCTCAATGACCCAATGAAATTCACCCCCCCCCCCCACAGGCAGCAATAAGAACCCGGTTCTGGTGAAGCCCCGGTGTAAAACCGTACTGAGGAATCTCCCATGATACACTGCATACCTCGACAGCCTGGTTGTCATGGTAACCCACACGCAAACAGACGCGCCGGTAATTGATGGCGGACACGCCAGACCCCATGGCCTTTGCGCGCTTTCCCTGCTTCCTGTTTTGTTCGTTGCGACATGGGTGCATTCCCCTGTCTTTGTGTGGACTCTGGGGCGTTGCGGCTCCTGGTTCCCCAGTCACGTTAGGATTACGGCCTTCCCCCCTCTGGACCCAGCAAGGCACGTGTCCGTCCTCTGAGTCGACTCCGATCAGCGCTGTTAAAAACATGAACCTGATGTTTTTTAAACCACCCTTCTTGTTACAGCCTGCCGGTGTCCCTTCACAGATGTGCTTCTGTAACTTATTGCTACCGATCTGGTTTTGTGCTGAATTGTAAAGCTCGGTCCCTCGTCACCCTGAGTGGCAGCTTAACGTGACTGCGCGCATCCCAGAGCGACCCAGCGGGGCTGTCCGATCTGCACCTGGCCCCCCGCATGCCCGCCCTGAGCTGCCCGTTCCATGGATGCCGCCCTTCCGAGTTTTAGTGATTCTTGTTCTTAGTTGTCGTGGGGGAGCGAGCGAGCCTGAAATGCCTCCCCTATGAGCAGTTGGCTTGAGAACAGGCTGCCTCAGCCTTTAGCGACCCCCAGGGCATTTAGTACCCCAGACGGGGGCGTTTCCTGCTGAATTTCATGTAACTTTCGGTAGAAGTAACAAAGACGCTACAGTGAAAGGCTATGTTAGTGTAGAGCCCCCCTCCTGCATGTGCTCGTGGTCCTTCGCAGTTAATCCCCCTCCTACTGTAAACACAAAAGGTGTAGAAATGTCTCTTGATGCTGATTATTTAGTTTCTTAAATAGCATACTAATGTACCCTCACTGTCCAGTTAGCATTGTTATGTAAAAAGAGGGGGCTTCCTTTAAGATGAAATTAAAAAAGGTTTTTGTTTTTCTAAAAGCACCGTGTGTCGTGTGTCTTCCCTAAAACCAATGATGCGTTTTGTTGTCACGGGAGAAAATTAAAGGCAGATTTGGGTGATTTTGTTGCCGTTTTCGAGTTTACACCGGTAAGGTACATGAAAGATTTCGGAGTCACATCCTGGCAGGAGAACATCTGGCTTTGGTCTGATTCCCAGGATGCATTTCACTCTTGTTGACAGAAGCTTCGTGGGAGGCTGACCATTAAAGCCTGGACGAGCAGGAACAGTCTCCTCATCACGTCAGTACAGTATAAAATGTTTTTAAAACTTCAGACACAAGCTCATGTCTTTCGATGACATTAGATGGTGAACTTAACAGCAAATAAAGGCTTGTTTTTCCTATGATGTCATGTTTCCTCTGTGAATGTGGAAGACAGGATGGTCCTTTCACCAACACACTTTTATAGATGAAATTTCCCTTAAGCAAAATGAAGTTTTTTCATCTTGCCACCAGAGGGCGTTTGAATTCAGTTTATAGCCTGTTATAGCCTGTTTATAGCCGTAATCCCACCATGTGTGTGGAATCCTGCCCAGGGAGCCCCTGCCTTGTTGTCCGTTGTGCCTGGGCAGGTTCTCCGGGTTTCACTGAGACCCTGTGCTGGATTGATGCTTATAGAAGATGGATGTGTGGGACCTTGTAATCATTTATAAGTCATACAGCACATGTTAGGGCTGCTTACCGATGGTGGTCCAAGCGTCAGGCACTGAGCCAAGCATCACCCCTCAATGAAATGTTTGTCAAATCGGAAATGAAATAAACAGTAGCTCATATGGACCCCTGTCTGTTTATTACATTTACGTTTTACCCATTTAAAAGATGCTTTTCTCCAAACTAACATGCGTGAGGCAAATAGCACATTGCAAACACTCATGCTGTCAAGGAATCAACTAGGCATGAGTGCAGCTAGACTGAGCTTCCGAGTTCATGGACAGACGTGGGAGAAACCGCCCCCACCCCTTCCTGATTCTGTGATGTCATCATGCTGTGACTAGTGCATCAGAGTTTCAGCACCTTCCCCAGAAAAGACCAGAGCTCAAAAGAATCTTGTGGGATTTCAGTTTGGGAGTGAATGCTGTTTTACCCTCAAAACAGCTTGAAGTGTCCCAGGGGTCGGGATCCTGATCCATGGGGGGCTGGTGCGGGCTTTTGGGATGATCTCTCAATCAGCCACATGTAAAGCAGTGGTTCTCAGCTGTTGACACCCACTGTTATTGGCTGGTTGACAGGTCAACCCAAAGATGAGCTCTATGGATCAGATCCCCCCCCCCCCCCCTTAAATATATAAGGCACAGCCACTGCTGTGTAGCAGGTGGCGTGTGGTTTGCAGTCATAACCAGAGTTCAAGGAGAGTCATTACTGCACTGTTCTGCATGAAAGATGTAATTATTCAGATGAAACTGAATAATCCCATGAAACACCCAAGGGGCCCAGCTCTCTGTGAGCGTGCTGGACAGGGTGAGTGTGCAGGATAGGGTGAGCTTTCAGAGGGTAGAGCTCTCTGTGAGCGTGCTGGACAGGGTGAGTGTGCAGGATAGGGTGAGCTTTCAGGGGGTGGAGCTCTGAGTGTACATGTCAGGGTGAGCTCTTGGGGTTAGAGCTCTCTGTGAGCGTGTAGGCCAGGGTGAGCTCTCGGGGGCGGAGCTCTGTGAGCATGCAGGACTGAGTGACCTTTTCGGGAGTGGAGCTCTCATCTTTTTTTTTTTATAATTGTGTGGTACACGTGTATTAAATGTGTGACTGTGTGTGATCATTTACACCTCACCACAAGCATTTCATTGTATAGATGTCTCTGCCATACCGTGCATATGGCAAAGACTTTGACTGAGAGGGCATTAGAGGGTGAGCGAGGCAGGATGCCATTATCGGGGCGGTACTGTCCCTCTGCGTCATGGAGACCATGCTACCATAAGAGCAATGCATGCTGGGAAAGGTGCCTATGGCGATCGTCTGAACGATACAATATAATCTTAGCTGTTAAACCCGTTATGGTGTTTTAAGCCTTTCAGGATCTGCAGAGGCGTTTCTGCTGAAACCCCCCATTTCATGTTTAATTAATAAACAGCTTTTGTGATGTGCTCTAAGCATCGATCACGTGCCTGCAGAGCCGTATGCTAATTAGCCGCGGTGTGTAAGTGCTCTGTGCCCGTCAGCCCATCAGTGTGTCTCATTAACATTTAAATTCCTCTGCTCGCCCCCCCCCCCCATCCTCTCAGGGTAGTGCCGCAGCAGAGACCCGCAGCAGTGTCGCTGGCATGAATCTGGCTGTCAGCACAGTGCATGCTGGGATTTTTAATTTGCCCGTAGATCTGTGCTTCTGAAAGCGGTCCCTGGTTCCACACGGCACCTCAGAATAAGTGTTTCTCTGAGTGACTGTCTGATTGTCAGATGAACGGACAGACAGACAGACAGACAGACAGACAGATAGGAAGTTCACTGCACAGTACAGACATACACTTGTACTGTCGCTTCAGCTAGAATGATGACACCGTGCCTGCTTGTCCGGGTGAAGCAGCCCCAGGAGAAGGACTGATGTGTGCAGCTGTCTGGAGGATCTCAAACCTCTGAGCCGATGTGAGGGGCCGGATTTGGAAGGCGGCTATAGCGAGCTCAGTCGTGTCTGTGGGAATGTAAGGAATGCCATATACTGACATAACTGAGTAATAATAATAATAAGACTACTGCTACTATTACTACTACTAATAATAATGACTAGTATGAATAATTATTGTTATTGTTATTATTGTTGTGGCTTTTTTCCTTTCCATTTCCTATTAAAATTCTTTATAAATTGTGTAACTTATTCTGAATGGGTTCTCTAAAAGCACAGGTGAAAAGTAAAAAATACAGACATCATATCTATATTCAGTGGAAACATTTGAGTATTTTTCAACTGCATTAATTGCTAACAGCTGGAAGCAGGGATGATGAATGTTCTGCACCAGTGCGTCTCTGCCCTCTGCTAGCATAGCGGAAGCCATTTTGTGGACCGTCCCTCAGTGCTGCCACCTAGGGGACAAAATGGCTTCCAGCCAGCAGGGCTTAATGACTGAAGAAAGACAAAGGCGGCGAGGACAAAGGCGCAGGGCCACAAGCAGGCTGAACGATCAGCTGCGCTATAAAAAGAGCTACAATATGCAGTAAAACGTTGTTGTTTCCTAAAAATCACAACCGTGAACCACAGTTGCTGGTGATTTAATGAGTAGTTTGACTAATAAAATTCCTTTCAAGTGGGAAGTATAAAGCTGTGCTTTTAGCGTCGCTGCTCATCACCAAGTAAAACAAGCAGTGAGAAGTGTACCTCGTGACACCTCCATGAGAGGAAGAAGTCTGCCAAACTGTGCCGTTTCTCACAGAGCGGTGACCAGGCAGACAGGCTGCAGCGCAGGGAGAGCTTGCCAGCGTTCACTTCCACTGCTTTTAGGAGGCACTCAGGAAATTCCAGCAGATCTCCAGATGTTGAGCTCGGTGGGGAAACGCATTCCTTCACTGAACACACTGTCCTCTCAAGGCTCAGTCCACGCTGACCAGCCCAGCGCGCCGGCAGGGGAATGGCCGTGCCAAACAGCTCCGCTGTTGAAATGTGGGGCTCTTTCCCTGGGGGAGCTGAATTTCAGGGGTCTCTGCTCTGATGTCCTGAAGTAGGGTGTAAATAGAAGCTTCTTCAGCAGACTGATTCACGCACGAATCAGACAGCAGTTTTGAATCCACACTAAGAGGTGAGACTTATCGCTTTCACTCTGTTTGGACGCAGCGCTGCTGATTTATGGAGATTCTACCAGGCCAAATTCAAGGAAATACCTCTGCGCCCCCCCCAGCCCCCAGACTGAAAACAAAGTGAGTAAAATCACTTCACAATCATCTGCTCTGTCTGCTTTGCGATTCATTTTGTGCCTCAACTTGCCCTTATTTCAGGATGAATCTTCGCTCTTGTCTTGCTGCGAATGTTTGATCCCTGTAGACCAGCAGGGGCAGTGCTGAGGCATTTTGGGCACATCCTCACACAGATTTGCTCATACCTCTTGAAGCAGCTCTGCAGCGTAAACCGGAGCCTGCATGAGTGACTGCAGCGCAGAGAGACTCTGAATGACACAGCAGCATAGTGGGACAGGCTGGTCTGCGTTCCAGTTCCTGCTGTACTGAGGAGTGCCATTAGGGTCACATTTGTTGAGAGCATCAATGTCCGAGCAGTAAATTTAATGTGCAGTAATGTGTATGAACTGTGACTAAAGGAGGAAGAGGAGGACCCTACAGGCCACCGAAGAGCCTTGCTTTGCTTCCATGAAGTTTAGTTAGAAGGTTTTTCGCTGAGTCTCCTGTTTTTTCGTTTCTGTAACAGCCAATGACAGGCTACTGCCGAATGTTGGTGCCTAATTAAGCGTGATGGTGATGAATTAGCCAGCGTCTGAAATCCCAGCTCGCCCCCCCTACACAGAGCAGCCCACCTGACAGCAGCAGCGGGACTGGGACACACACATCGCCCCCAAAACCTGCCACACGTTACATATTCATGAGCCCCCCCCCCCCATAAAGTGAGTTGTATATTAAAAACACAAGTAGGTCAGGCC